CCGCTGTCGTTGCGTATTGCGTATTGGCAGAGTTGATGCTTTTTTTGAGGGTTAGATAGATATAGGTACTGGAAAGCCTTGGTTACGTTTACGTCACTATCGCGGATGTCGAGTGCTCCACTTTAAATTGCACGTCGACTGTCGCATGTTCGTTACATAGGCTTTCCGAGTGATGTTACTGTTGTCTGTGCAACGGATTGACGTTTATAGTTTTTATTCACACGTCATTCTTCTGCGAGTTTCTGAAGCTGTGACGCCACGAATTGCTTATAAAAATGTTGTTTTTTCGCTGAACAAAATATCAGTAAAAGTGTCTTCCAGCTCAGACAATGTAGCTTTATTGACGAGAGCAATAGGCTTCGCCTGCAAAATATTCTTGGTCTACGTCAAACCACGTAAAAAGATGTTGAAGTTGATAGAGTAAGGTTGCAAAATATATCGATGATCCATTATGTCTTATCACGCCCGGCTTACTTGACTCGAAGGAGCATAGCAGTGGATAGACGATAAATCAATTTTTCATCGCAGCCTTTCTGCTTTTGAAATTTCCAACAATAAATCTTGACGCGAACCCGATGTTGAATTTGTAAGTGGAGTTTTTTCTCGAGTGAATAAAAACTTGCATAAATAGGTTAAAGTGCTTCAATTAGCGAAGAATAAATAATTGAAAAATTGAGGACGTTCAGCTAAAGGCAGTATCATAGCAAAGAAACATATGAGAAGCGTGATGCGACACAAAATCTATGTGGCGGCTTGCAGCGCAAAAGATTCGTTTAGCATGCATGTGTACGAGTATATGCTGCGACCGCGAAGCTGACACTATCACGGCTTAGCCTACCCTCCAACCTCCCTCCCTTCCTTTCTCCTTCCCTCGCGATCTCTCTCTCTCTCTCTCTCTCGACTCGTTATCCCGCTTTTTTTGCTCTGCATATTTCCGCTTTTTGTTTACTTTTCCAATTGTATCGGCCGTCGCAATAGCGGGCGTTGCTCTCAACTGCACCTGCAATTGTTACGTTCATTTCCACCAGTTTACGCGCTTATTATTTGCGCATGTACTTGCTGTTTTCGACGTGAATGTAGCCTTTTTTATCTGGCCTTTGGAATTGATTAAAAGCGTATTTCCATATCGAACGCAAGCGCTTCCGTGTGCACAACGTTTTCTTTCGTTTTTTTTTTACGGGAGTATGCGAAACGATTTGTCTTCTGAGACATCGAAAAAATACATATCCACGATGCTCGAAACAAACTTATTATAAATCGAACGTCTCTTGCTTTCACTTACTGTCGATCAATCATTTTCCCTTTTGCCTGCCGTGCGCTCCAAGTATTCGAATCGTTGCTGCGTTAGAAACGTAACCATTTTGAAAGCTCTGCAAGCCGTGTAATTGAATGTATTCCTTTGTTTGTTGGTAACACATCAGTCAGGAACAATGAGACAGCAGAAAGGGGAATGAAAACGCCAGAGATTCAGCTTTTTTTGTTTCTTTTTGGCGCATGAAATCTGGGAACGATGACGCGTGGGAAGATTTGTCTGGCAGCAATGTGCGACGAGAATTAGAGCGAAATTACAGGTTGCAATGTGGCACTGCGCACGCAATTTTGCCAGAAAAAGCCGGGGAGAGATAGCGTGGAAAGTACGGACAGGCAAGATGGAAAACGAAAGAGAGCGACCAGGCTCGAACTAAATCGATTCCTTTCAGAGCGCCAGTGAGGCGTTAAGCTCGCCTCCGACGTATGTGCAATTTGGCGCTATCACTACTCTCTTTCTTTAGTCTCGCTTTTTTCATCGTACGTTCCTTTTGCTTCGCGAGCACATCCTTTATTTTGTATCAGTCTCGTCAAATCGCCGTAGAGTCGAATGTAACGCGTTAATTGGCTGTTTACGGGATATCCGAGCCTCGACCTACCTGCCGTATTACTCTTTGGAAAGCCGCGCACCGCTCGGCGCATGCTAAATTATAATGCAAAATTGATCGCCGATAAATTGCGCGCAGCTCGACCCTAGTACCGACAATTAAATTAGCTGACGTTGTGATGCGAAGATAAGCGGAGAAAAGCCGCAATGCGTCTAAAATGTTGCATACTCACTCGACTGTGTGCGTCGTAAAATGTAAATGAGCTCTAATTTGCATCGCGCTATCATCCAGCTCAAACGGAAAGATCGCGTGTGATTAAGCGTACGAGCGACAAAGCTAGTAACTGAAAAAAGATGCTGCTTAAATTAGCTGTGCTGCCTCTGTTGCGAGGCTCTTACGTGCAAACGCTACGATGAGCTGTGACAGATTCGGCGTGTGTACGCGATCTCTTATGTGACAGTGTGAATATTAGCATATTCGTAGGCGAAGAGCGGCATTATATATATATATATATATATATAAGAAGTAGTCGTAACGTTGCTGAGGGGACGTATTCAAGCGCACTGTCGTCTACAGATTCAGAATTATTCAGTATTAGTCGACTAAAAAGATAAACATTATTAGATACCATTGAGATTACTTTGCATAATTACAGTTGCTTATTGCATTGATTTCTTGACAAGTTAAAATTGAATTAACACGAAAATAAAACGTCGACCGTGTACTCAGCCGCATCCGTACAGACAGTTTACGAAAACTCGATTCGAAGAAACGTCGCTCTGTATGAACTGCTGCAATATTTAATAACTCAAATCCTACAGAGTCGTCTAATATACGCGGACAGTAGTAGCAGACGGTATTGTCAGGCAAAACGGACCGTGTTAATTATTGAAACGAGCGAGAAACGGGCGAGAAACGGGCGGAGCGCTAGTTTAAGAGTCCTCTCAAGTCGACTGGTCGTCCTCGCCTACTCCGTCTGTAAGATATCCCTCTTACTCGGCCTCTGTCCTGCCGTTCGACCAGTTGGAAAGCGACGGCTTTTCTACCTCCCTGTGTGTCGCTGTGTTTTTCTCTTAGCCTCTCGTTTTCTTCTTTCCACGCTCTATTGAGCACGCTTTTATTCAATTTTTCTTTCAGCTTTCCTAGTGCCTCGCTTTCTTCTTTTCCCTTGTCAAACATTGCTTTGACCTTTTTTCACTTGATTTTGAAACCTCTTTTTACCAAAGTAACAACAATTATTGACGCGCAGAGAAGTCGCGATAATTGCGAAAAGCTGGAGTAGAAAATTCATTTGGTCTTTTTTATCGCTTGAAAAACTCTTATACGACCCTGAAATTGGTTTTATGTCCTCGACTACCAGATTGACTTCTGAATGAAACATAGATATCGATCGGTAGAACTTTATGACCAGCCAAGGCGGATAGTGTCGTATCAGTGCATTGGGTCAGTTGTATCGGAATCGAGTCAAGATGTATGTGGATGAACTCGAGCGGCTACGTGTGCGGAGGAATCTTAATGTGTTTGTCGTGCTAGGGGGACAGTCTGGAGATAGTTAATAGTCCATCGCGGAGGGGGGCGAGTGCGTTTATAGACGCGTTGCGCGCTGCGCTGTGCCGTGGCTAGTTGCAGGAGCTTGTCCAGTTTCCCTCTCTGCATACGAAATTTACACGCGCGGCCGCGGGGGAAAGGGTCGCGACGAGTGGCGGTGGTCTGCTAGGCGCGACAAGCTCCATGGGTCACTTGACAATCAGGCCAAAGCCTACCAAACTTCCTTCCCCCCCCTCCTCCTCCTCTTTATTCGGCGGGTCCCTGAGTTTGCACTTGCACCCTGTTCCGTCTTCAATTTTCATTTTGACTCCTTTCCAGTTTTCAATTGTTCTCGATGTATTTCGTTTTAGTGCCGAATTCCGATCTCTTGTGTACTTTATTAAACTTTACTCATCGGTGGCTTCGTACGAGCTTTTCATGAATTTGGCTACAATGGTACCAGGAATATTTTATATAAGAAACTTGACAATTTATACTTAACAAACTAGATTGACTGGACGGTACAGAAAAGCTCCTTGCATAGGCATTCTAACGATACCTTGATAACGTCCCTTCTTATAGTGGGATAACCAGTTTCTCTTTGACCGGTTGAATGTTTCAACGCGCCGGCCGCAATTTATAACACCATTAATTTCTAGTGGTTCTCGCGCGCCAAAAGTATCGGAAAATTCTGCTTAACACTCTGCGATAAATTAAAAAAAAAGTGAAAAAAAAAAGAGAGAGAAAAAAACCAAGGCCAAACTGCCAAACTTCAGTACTTTGCCCTAGGAAAAAAAATTCTCGGCAACTGCTCTTTAATCGTCACTTCTGGCAGAGTATCGCGAAACTTATATGGCTACGATAGCAACTCTGCTTCTCGATGAAAGAGAAGGGACGACGTACATCGGCTTGGCAAACAGCGCGCGGCTGCCGAGGGAAAATGGAGTAACCCGCACGTAGGCGCGCGCCCCAGAAATTAGGCTTGCTCTTTGCGTTCCCTCGCTGCTCGCTGGGAGAAATAGTCTCCGGAATACCGATGCTGGAGAAATTCACAAGCGAGTGAAGGTCAGCAGCTAGACGATCGAGCCTTTTGTGAATTGCAGAGAGATTTGAGCTGCTCTTTGCCTTACTCCGCCACGTCGCTGTCTTTGGATTTCGAGATCTGTTCTTTTTCGCAATCGATATGCAAGCGTTGCTACATGTACGATTATTATTCCACGTGTGGAATGGCTGTATCCAACTAAACATTCTAATGCTTTCTTCACTTTATTTTACAATCGACTTGTGAGTATAAGACGCTCTTTTTCAATCTATTTCAACTGGAGATCAAATATTTCAGTTTGAAAGCAAAAGAAGGATGAAGTTTAAAAAAATTACAACATCTCGAAAGTCCGTCCATCATAAAGTTAGGTAGAAGTAAGAGAGTTCAAAGAACTTGCTAATGAAAAATGTCAAGTACATAGTTGAGCAAAAAGTAAAGAAGAAACTGCATGCCGGTTACGTTTAAAGAGTAAATTTATGGAATATCGTAGCTCAACGTTGTTTGATACCGGTGAGCGCGTGATTAAGACCTTCGTGCTTCAGCAACGATTTTTTTGCTAGCCGAGCAAAGGCTAAATGAAAGCATTGTACCACTTGCAGATATTGGAGGAGCACAAGGTATTGGACGACGAGATGCGCAAGCAGTTGAAGTTGCAGGCACAGATCCACGCAGACCATCTGCGCGAGGCACTGGCAACGAAGGAACGCGAGATGGAACGCAAGATCAATCGCGCGCTCAACGAACACAAGGAGGAGGAGTCGATTAGAAGCAAGACCCAACTTGCCGCGGTCATCGGGAGGCTCCGAGGACTCGACGAGGCTCTCAAGAGTAAGTACCCATCCTATTCTCTCTCAAGATCGCCGTCGGTCCTCGATCCAAGTTTACAACTTACTGCCTCATCCGATCCACTGCTGCCGCTTTCCGTGATATCTTCCTATCCGACGTTTTTCTCGCTGCAAGCCTAAACTTGTGCCGCCTACGAGATGATTGATGCATTTCTACTTTGTAAAATATTCTTCCAGAGGTTATTGATGTTCCTCGGCACACGTACAAAACATCGTCTCCTTGAAAACTCGGTCAAACGTCAATAATTTTATATTTTTGAAAAGTCGGCCTCTAAAATACTTGGGCTAGATTTACGAGCGAAGAGCGGCAAATTCATTAATTAAACGGGAACGCAGTTAAAATTTGATTGTTCAAGTTCATAGCCAACACCGGTAGGTAGGTGTAGGAGGTCCTGGCTTGAACCAGAACAAACGATGCGGTGAAAAGAGTCTGCTCTGAAGTAGTCGAGGCAAGGGCCAATTTGAAACTTGACTGCAGTTAAAAATCACGCTGCTACATAGTCGTGGTGCACATAGCGGTCCGAAAGCAGTCGTAAAATTTCAAGCGGCATTAGCCGAATGACAATTCGGAAAAACTTGAATTTCCTCCGTCGGAGCAAAGTTTCCAAATCATAAAGCTCGTGGCCCTCGAAGGGTTCGCGGCGTATTTCCATTAATGGCAGAGGGGAGAGCGGCAGATCCGAGCGATTGAAAGCTCAATCGACGGAAGGGATTTCGCTGCTTGGCACTGCTGCCAGGCACAAGTATGAGAAGTCGCGTCGGCACAGACAACCGTCGTCTCCTGGGCCTTCCAACGTTGCATTTCCCGCGGCGAAAGAGATCTTTGCGATATCTCTTTCATCTCGACGACGACCTTTCTTACTCTGCGAATTATCAGCGCATCACGGACTCGCAAATCTGGCGGTTTGATGCGACGTCGATGCCTTCGAGCACGTTTTCCCCTTTTTCATAGGCGATTATATTTCGATCGCTTTGCAGACCAGTTACTTTGTGAGAAAAAAATCTCGTCTTTTATTGATTAAGAAACAATTAAAATTTGTGCATTATATTGGGAATGCTGACAAAAAATGCCTCATTGTTTTGCCAAAGCTTTGGCCATCTCGATCAGTTCGACCCTCGCAATTTTTGCAGAAGGAGTGTGCGGCAACTTATCCAGAAATTTAACTCCGGCCCATAACTTCTTGTATTCTCCAAGCGTAGCGCTTAGCGCTATTAACTCCTCTTCTGTCACCTGAGGAAAGGGCCGAAAGGATTCATTAGAACTATAATAGGTCATTTACAATAATGATCAGTTTAAAGGTCGAGCTAGCCCAAGTTTTTCTTTTCCTTCTCTCCCATCCCTCCTCTCTCTCAAAAATAAATAGGATATGATAATGAAGTAGAGTTATTGACTCCAGCCTATTAATTATGCGTTGTCATTGGCTCGTTAGCGTAGTGTTGTAGTAATCTCAGCTTACCTCGCTGTTCTGTGCTTTGACGACGAAAGCCACCGGGCGTTCACCGTCCAATTCGTGTGGCATCGGCACTACCGCCACTTCCATCACAGCCGGGTGGCTAAGTAGAACTTCTTCGATTTCTGACGGGGAAATGTGATAAGCGCGAAATTTCATCACCTGCTTTAACCTTTCCACGATAAACACCTCGCCGTTCTCATCGTAATAAGCTTTGTCACCCGAGTGTATCCAGCCTAGTTAATGTCAAAACAAAAGCTTACTTCTATGACTTTGTATCGAGATTATACAGTTTCTCAACACTCTAATTCTTTTATTTTGTTTTTTTAAGTACACTTTCAGTAGAAAGACATTTTTTTAAATAGAAGATGACAATCTTTTTTATCACGAACCTTCTTCGTCGATAGTTTCCTTGGTGGCCTCGGGATTTTTGTAATAGCCGAGCATCATTGTCGGGGACTTGCAGTAGAGTTCACCCGGTTGGTTCGGCCCGAGCGCCTCACCCGTCACCAGGTCGACCATTTTCACTTGCACGTGCTCTATTACGAAACCACTCGAGTCGACTCTTTTGCGCTTCTCGTTTTGCATTGTAGCCGTACCTCCCAGCTCGCACATTCCTGCTTTGAATAATTACCAATTCCTTGTTAATTTCCTTTCATTTCTCGCTTTGAGTTAGGCGAGCACTTTTTTTCGAATGACTTATTTTACCGTATCCTTGAATAACTAATGTGTTGGGCAGGCTGTTCTGAAATTTTTCAAATACTTCACGATTGATCTTTGAACCCCCTGTCTGTATCAATTTCAGTGATGGAAGATCGTATTTTTTAAATACATCTGCTTTGTTAAGCACGTTTATCATATCTGTGGTGATGAAGAGCCATGATATCTAAAATATATATTTAAATTTAAAAAATATCTTTATTCATGAACATATTTAATATTTTTGCGCATTTTGAAGCAATTTTAAGTAGACCTTATGTTTCATAATGACTTTGCAAGTTTCTTCTGGATCAAATTTGGCGTGGAAGATTCTAGTCGATTGAAGTAAAAATAATTGCAAAGAAAAGTAAACTGCGGTCAACCAGTACGGTGAAGTGTACCATAACATCACATCGGTTTTTTTTGGAAGCCTAGCGAATCTCAAAATGTTTTTGGAAAATGTGTTGTACGAATGTACGATACCTTTGGGCAATCCGCTCGAGCCAGAAGAGAAGATAATCAAAGCAATATCGTTTGAATTTTCCACTTCTACTACTTTGAAGTTTTTAACTTCTTCTTCGGTTTGTTGTTTCATTATATCATTAAGAGACTCTAAACTCAAATGGTCTCCGAATGTTATGAATTTCGTATTAATATTCTCTAACTTTGCTGCTTCTACAAGTATGTCAACCGCATTTGCGCACGTAAACATGATCTTAGGCTGTGTCAGTTGCAGTAGATGACGCGCTGGCTCTAAAATTACGAAAAAAAATTCTACTTTTCCTACTGTTATAAATATGACGATTCAATAAACTAGTGTTATTTAGCGCGCTTCGCGCGCTTTTTTTTAATGTTTTACTATTATTTATTACATTATTTGAATCTTTTACATGTCAACTTCAAGATTTCAATGGACACGAATAAGTCATGTTGTTTAAAATAGACTACATACGTCAATATTTATTGATGAATAAAAATAGAACATGCACCCATTTTTTTCTCAGAAATCGATGAACTTTTACTCATTTCAAGATATATCGGAAAAATTATTCAAAAGATTAATTCGACCTAAGATCAATAATGCTATTATACTATTATACTATTATTCAATAGTAGTGATTATGGCTCTAATCTTATATTAGTATGAATAATACATTTAACATCATGTACTTTTTGCTGCCACTATGAAAACACCCGTGAATATTCTTCTAATTTAACGGGTTTAACATTTTGATAATTAATTTCCTTTGTTCGCATACATTTTAATTTAAAATATACAAAAGATAAATACGTAGTCTCTATTTTATTTTTATTCATTCTCTTTTTCTTTCTACCAAATTTTAACACAACGATATTGATTGTAGTATCAGAGATGGTTATAAAATTAACAATTTTTACAAATAATTTCAAAACATAACGTATTATGTTCTTAAACCAATTTACTAACATATTTCCATTCTTGCAGTTTATTATCCATGTTAATTATTCATAAATTGAATTTATCGCTAAAATAGAAATCTTACACTCTTTGATATATAATAATAATAATATTTCAAAATATAGGAAAATACAAAATTTCGTTCTATTTTTGCATCAACAAATCGCAACGCTGGATGTCAGCGACTCATCTTTTTTTAAAGATAAGATAGGAATAAAATATGTAAAAAATATAAAAATAAAAAATAAAAATAAATATAAGGCAAGGATAAGGATAGGACAGAACCATCAGCTGCGCCGGACAATTTAATTTTGTTTCTTTTTTAACGTATTGGTTCATGGTATCAAGCTTTCCATAGGATTTCTCCATATCAACAGATATATTATTTTAATTTAACTGTTTTTTTCATTGTTCATCTGAAATCATTTGGAGAGTTTGTTTACATTTATAAATTAAACTTCAAAATTTATTTAAAATAAATTAACGGTGTCGACTGCACCGAAATAAATTCGCAGAATTTCATATAAAATATCAATTTACCATTCTTCTCAATATTGATCATATTTATCCGAAGCTAAACTTTACAATAAAGATATATTCAATTAATTTATATGTCGAATAAATAAATGCAATTGAAGTGCATTAAGATTACTTTATCGTATTTTTTAAAGGTTAGGCCATTGAGAGAATGTGGAAGTCATTTACAGTTTAATGCCTACAAATTATTATACTTATTTGTATTGATAAATGGAAAGTACTTCGATTTATTATTATGACCGATTTACTCATTTGTGACACACATGACGAAATTCAGTCAATCAGGTCATAAATAAAATTACTTCACTCAGCATCACTTTTTCATATAGGAAAATAAAAATATATAGGTTTAGATAAACTTTACGCGTTTTTACCTTCTTTTTTATTTCTTATTGTTATATCAATATTAAAATATTTAACAAATTACTTTTTTCAAAGGTAGATTTTTCAATTTTTTTTAAAAACCCATATCACAGCGGAAAATGTGTATTAGTGATGAAACACGTTTTCAAATTTATGATTTATTATATCAAAAACTGCAATAAATATAATCTTATACTATTTTTTTTTTCAACGGGTTAATTTATTATTAAACTTTTATTCTACTTTTTGAATAAAGATTGCAACATTACAACTTTTATTTTACACATTCAAAAACCAAATTTTCGATTATTAATAGAAAATATTTAGAGCAATTTCAACCTATATTGTTTGTATGAAACGATTTCTTCGTTGTTAGTTTCATATTATGAGTGTATAAACAATATTACAGTCTACTTTTTTACTTCCTTATCTTCAAAATTATCCGTATGATAAATTATGATGATTTGAATTTTTATTAATAAAATCTCAATTTAAAACCACACCTATATGCTTATTTTCGGCCACATAAGTATATCACGCAATTATCTCTCAGCCATCAGATCACTATATGCTTCAACGTGGCATCCATCACTTTTTTATAAGGGGATTAGTATTTAGTTCAAATAGAAAATATATTAATTTCAATCATTCAATTAAATGTTATTACTCAATGTAACGTCGTGATGCCAAGGATTGTGAGCAGCTCCAATGTAAAAAGTCGCTAGCTCTGGAATGTATGCGTTTAATTGATTATCAGTGCAAATAGATATTACATCGTTGCTTTTTATTCCTTGCTTCTTAAGCCATAATGCGCACCGAATACTGCAGTCTTTCATCTCTGCGAAAGTAGTTTCTTTTCTGGTTTCACTTTCGAGCTATAAATTTAATTATTAGATTCATTGTAATTGAAAAACTATTATCAATTTTTCTTATGTATGATTCACTTTTTAATAATCAAACTTTAATCGTAATTCTTTCTGGGTAATTTTAAATATTTACTGTATAATCCAGTTGATGAAGTATTTGAAAATATTTGAAATTTAAGGCTATTTCATGCTTATCAATACCTGTGAAACATGATTCAAGTTGGCATCAAGCACGGCGAGAATGACTTTTCCGAGGTTATGAGTCTTCATACAGTATGGCTTGGGGATCCCCTTGATAACATTTTTCTCGATAGTGAAACCAACGGTCTTATAAACATTTTCGTAGTCCATCGTTAAATTGGTCAATTCTATTTTCTATGAATCTTTAGTATTTAATACATTCAAACACTGTCTGATCACGTACCGCAAAATTTCGAGACATAACGTCCAATGCGACGATGCCAAATTGTGCTATAGCCGTATCAATTCGCAACATTGCAGAGGATTGTCATTGGCTTATTCCGCAGAGAAAAAAGTGACGAGTAGAAAGGCGGTCTTTTATGAACACTTCTAAAAAATTAATTTTATTGAATAAGTCAATAAATCAATTATTGATTCAAGTTTATCAATTATATCCGTTTAATATCATTGTTCTTATTAACTGCATTATTATTAGCTTTAGCCATTCAATTTAATTTTTGTTGTTACAATTAACGTTAAATATTTACTTTGAAGTTTCTATCTGCGTGTAAACTTGCTGAAAGTACGTCTTACTAACGAGCACTGATCATTGAGTTTAAATCTTAGCTAAAAGCAATAATATCGTATCATGAGAAACATTTACAAGCACAACATTCGTACGAAAGAAAAAAATAAGAACAGGAAACAGCTGGCGTTAAAAAGCAGCTCGCGACTTTAGCAGGTAAAAAGCCTGGCGAGTTGTCGGCTCGTTGGGCGTTCATTACGTATGCGAATGCGGTGGCCGCTTTAGTTTGAACGCGAGACAGCGTAGAGGGAGTGGTACTGCAACGCTAACACCTAGTAATATCCGCGAGCGCAAACCTCGTAGCAGCTGCTGCTACTGCTGCCGCACTCGGACGGAAGTTAATGAAATGCCGCGTGCCTTTCGTCCCTCTCCCCCCTCCCGCCCCTAAATTTTCCGCGCGGTTTAGATATGAGAAAAGTAATGTCCGGTACGACCAACAAACAAAGCGAGCACGAATGAGGAGAAGCGCGCGCAAAAGCTTGCGTTGCGCGTAAACGTACCAACACCTTTAATCGCACCCAACTCAACTCAACCTTTTAATAATGGATTTGATTTTCCGATTTCTCGTTGATATTTCAGTAATGGTCGCATGCACGCGGCACGTATTTTTTGCGTGCTTACTTAAACGAAAGCGTTGTCGGCGTTTTTTGTGTTCAATCTCCAGCTCTTTCACAGCATAATCTATTATTATGGGTTCGTCTAATATTTTTATTGAAACCTTGACGCTTTTGCTGAGCAATCTACACAGCTGCCGTGCGAGTATAAAAATTTTGCCGGAAAATTAAACTTTTTTCATTTATAACCGTAAATCAATTTCTTAATAAAATAGATTACATCGCACTTTCACTCGGAAGTTTCCAGAGTCAATATTATCCATTCTCCCTTTATTACATGTCTTTTTCATCGCGCGAGGTCAAGCAAATAAATGATTTTCTCGGCAAACTTACGATACAAATACTCGTCTGAATGGAATTTTAAAGTCGGGAAAGTGGGGCAGAATATGTGTCAAAGTACTATATGGGAGAAAGTTGGCACGCGAGTAGGTGAGAAGTGTTGCACTAGGGAAAGGCCGTTGCGATAGGCCAAGGGAGAGAACTGTTAACGGGCTACCACTCGAGTTTGTAAATTAGCAAGTTCGCTCGGTGTGGCTAGAGAACAAAGGGGCCCCAGCGATAAATCTTGGACAATAATAGCACCCCTGAAAGTACACCGAAGACGCGCTCTTCAGATACGGATGAATGCAATTTGTTGCGCCTTCAAACCATCTACCAACGAATCGCCGTCAAGACTTACCAGAACTAGTCGTGGCTATATAAACGTGTGCGTGCGCGCGCGTGGCTGTGTGCGTGTGTGTACTGGTGACGAGTTGTTGTGGCCTACAACACTTATATAAATCTTTCTTTCCCCTTTATCGCCTTCCCCGAAAATCGCCTACGCAGCCAACTGTTTTTCACTTTTACCGCAAACTTTTTCTTACCGCGCCAACACTTTATGGCCTATTTTTTCTTGTTTTTTACGACAAATAAGCTATGCCAAGGCACTTGTTCTTTGTCTTTTTCGATGATATCGCGCGAGGAACTGCTTTGATAAGGAATATAAATCTTTCTCGCGCCTTTTTTTGGTAAGCTTTATTTCATAGTTTAATCTGATATACAACACGTGAGAAATATTACTTCGGATCTTGTTCACAGATATAATTATTAAAAAACTAGAGCCACGCGAATAACGAAAATACAATACGTATAATTTAGCTCGAAGGTGAAACTAAATTTAAAGTTTTTAATCCGCTGAAGGGCATAACAGAGCGCAGATAATTGGTTTCGGAAATCACCAGTCGCATTGGAAATCTCTCGCTGCGAGAACTTCGCAACATATACATATACACACAATTATTGGCCTAACCTTTCCAACTGCACAAACTGTAGACTCTCTAATAGCTTTGAATGCCAGAGGCAGTCACTGAAATTCTATTCTCTTTGTCGTATTCTTACGAGGCCTCTACGTAATAATTATCGAAAATGCCCGCGAATGTAAAAATGCTGTCCCGAATAATAAATATAACAATTGTTATTACGCGAATGAAATTGAAAAATAAAATGACAATTCAAGTTAGGTAAAAGAGCTCAAGTTGCTCGTAATTTTCGTTAGCGATAAAATTGCGTATTCCTCGAATGCTGGGTAAACATGAGTTGTTCGCCTAGGCGAATTAGCTTTCAGTGTACTCAAAGTCACATGCGTGAGCGAGGGAGAGAGAGCAGTGGAATTGTAACATTCACTCATCCTAAATTCCAGCAACGCACGGAAAAGGATTCTACGTTCATGTAGAGTCTGTGTTTACTGTACATTCTCCCCAGAGCATTTCAACTCGCGATCAAGATAAATTTTGAAAGGGTGTTATTTTTCCTTATACTCAGTCGTATGCGACTTATATTTAATGAAGAGTGTTAGCGACGATGATAGCACGAAGAAAGAAGCTACAATGTAAAATGTGTTGCTTAATGACTTTTTTTATGGAAACGCTGAATGATCTCAAGCTATAAAAAGGATGTTTCCTCCTATGCAAAGTAGATACTGAGGCTTGTGCAAGTAACAGTAAAACTGGAGACTAATAAGCTAGTATCCGACGGAGAATGTTGCTCGATAAATACCCAGTGTTGCGCTTCCAAGAAATTTATCTCGCGTTGCCGCGTATCCGCTGTGAAGCTACTGGTCGAGTGACGCACACGATGCGGCTTACAGTTAAGCGATAAGGCCTCAAACAATTTTAAATCAGCGTTTATTAGCCGGCGCGTCGCCTGCGGCCTATGACCTCATCGATTCTCCCTCGCTCCCATCCCTTCCACTCTCGCTAATGTCGATCTTATCGAGCGCAAACCCAGCTTGCTGCGACAATTTATTTAACGGCCCAAGTTGCTATTTATGCGCGCGTGGGTCTCGTTTTCACATCGAGATTCTTATCGCGCGTGCGGCTTCGCGCTTGATAACTAACACCAATGACTTCATGAACGTGACTTTTCACCCCTTACAAACGACTAATGGACGTTGTGTTTGTTTAAAGACTAGGCGATCTGTCAAGAGGATCTGGAAGTACGTCACGTCAATTCAACTTGTGTATTTTGTTGCTCTTATATTTATTTTTCAATTTTTTCTCAATATCCGATCCAGCTACTCTTCGAAATTATTTACCGATATTGACAAGCAGTTCAAAATTTAATAGGATTGGAGCAGATATTAGCAAACAGTTCGAAATTGAAATAGAACAGCGACGTTTACGAAAATATTGGTAACTATGTACTCCGACGCATACTTATATATTTCAGATGGACTCCTCTGGCTTCGTCCATTCATTTTTTCATCAATAAATTTTTCATTTAAATGTTATGACGTGGCATAATTAGTCGTGCATTTGTATCAAGCATTTAGGATGATAGTTTCATAAAAAAGGTTTCATCGTCTGAAAGACGAAAAAAGACTTTTTGTCATGTCCGAAATCACTAGCGGAGTAATCATAAAAATTAGCCTTTTTACGCTCCGCGCGCGCAGATAAAAACGATATTGCTAGATACGCGAACCGTAAGGTTACGTCGTAAAAATGTGATTTTCGCGAATGGGCTTTTCACGTGATGAATCGAATGCATATGCCTGGGCTTGCCCACCGAGCTCATAAAATTACGCAATATCGGAAAACTCGAATATCAAATTTTTGATGCTGAAACTTGTAATCGATTTCAAATAACATTCTGTGCGTGTGTTTTTTTCTTTCATCCTTTTGCGGTTCGTCCCATACATATGCGACAATGCGCTCAAAAGTTTCGATGCAATTCTCGACCCAAAAGAAAACGAGGGGAAGAAGGAAGGAGAATTCGAAGATTCTCTTTTTACCGTAATTCTTTTTGTCCTGCGGATGGCCGCAAAGATGTGCTTTGCAAAGGACGCGAATCTCGAGAGGTAAACTTTTCGAATTACCATTGCCGCCACCGACGCGAGGCCTGTATATGGATTTGCGCGCTTGAATATTTCGTGGCGATTGTAAGTGGCACTTTGCAAGGCGACCAGATGCAACTTCCAAACGAACGACAGGTGAACACCGTTAGGAGCGACAGTTGAACAGGCAATTTTTGTAGATTTGAGTTTCATGAACGTCGAGGACAAATTCAATTTTCAACTCGTAGAAACATAGAAAATTGGTTATAGTCGTTATTGGTTATTGTCGTTCTCAATCGCATATAACATACATTTCTTTTTCTTACACTACATATCTCTTCAATGTTAATGACAAAATTTTTAGAGAATTATTTTAACGATTGATTCTTTAAGAACGGTTATCAATACCATAAATCTATAATACGTTTGTCAAACGTTATTTCTAGCCTTTCGTGGTTGTGTGTAAAATAAATCTTGCACTCGATCAATGTAGGCTAATATGTTGTATTTTATTTGACGTTTCGTTGACCAGATTTGTCAACCTCATTAGAAACAATAGTTACGTTCAACAGTTTGAAAACCTTATTGTCATCTTAGAACAATCTTGTCAACTCTTAACGATTCATTAATTTACAAAAACAACTTAATTGGTTTTGTAATTTGATGAATTGTCCATTATTATGAAAAATAACTATGCTAGAAATAATCTCCCTATGACGG